AAAATGACAGTATTTTGCTCTCAATGCCCTTGCATAAGATTGAAGAAAAATGTGCTTTATTATCTCTTGTTCACGCTTAATTTAAGACTGTAAAGATGATGATTTGTGACCCAACTAATATTCAGAACTAAATTATTAGAATTTAGGCACGTTACTTTCTACCCTGCTGTTTGAGCTCTCTCTTTATTTGTGATTATTATATTATGCATGTCATTATGTCAGATTGATGGTTGGGGCGGAGTAGGGGGCGCTGGGACTCGGCTGGGTGAAAAATGGGGCGGTGGGCGAAAAAAGTTTGAAAACCACTGGCCTAGAGGATAAGGTATTCACCTCTCATTCAAAGGTCCAGGGTTCGAATCTGGGTAGGGACCGAAAAAATGTTCTTCTCTTAAATTGTCTCCTTGCCTTTAACCTCCTTTCCTGCTCTCTAGCTATGTTCTGTCGTCTGCTTTCGTCTCCACTCTCTCTTCCCCCACCCCCTCACCTCCTTTGCCCCCTCTTCTGGGCTTCTGACTCTTTCTGCAGCCCTTCTACTGCTACTCCTTGGCTCCTTCTTACTGCTGCCTTTCAGCCACACCCCTGATCTTCTGGTAGGAAAGACCTACACCTAGCCTTCTCGGACAAGGGCAAAAAATCTCGGAAGTCTGGTGTGCAAGTTGCACATATTAAAGATCCCTTGGTGGTCTAAAATCGATAAGAGTAGGCTTCGGCCGCCACCCGCGCAAAATTCAAAATTTCCTACCGACTGAAAATGTTTACTGTGTCTCGCGCGCTCATCTAATGGCCTAATGCAGTTCCGAGCGCCGTTTAAAACTTCCGCTCCCCCCCCCCCCCAAAAAAACCCAACCCCAAACTATTCTGTCTCAGATAGCTCTCGTGTGATGTGATAGGCTGGGTGAAAAACTGAATTCTTATTGTGTTATCTTTGAAATAGTTACAGACCCTACAGATTTGGGCTTAGGTCATTCCAAGGCTTAGTTTCGGTATCTACCAAAGGCTTACTGTAAGTTTTACTACTTGAAACAATGTTTATAAGAGAAAGTGAATTATAATTTTCTTTTCGTTCACATTGTACTTCAAAAGATGACTTTTGAAATTACATGAAGTTCATCAGACACTCATGTTTCCCAGCTGATGAACTGAGGGATGACTACAAATTTGGTATTACATTTGATGAAGCCTCACGCAAAGCGTACAAAGTGAATCCAGGCTCCGTGGTTGTGTTTAATGCTGAGAGATTCTACACAAAGTTCGAAGCCAAGTGGCATGTGTTGAGTGTCAAGGTAGGCCTTTGTTACTTTGATTTTTGTTTATCACATGTTTCTGTCTTAAAAGGGAAATGCCACTTGATGCTATTGATTTATGAGGTCTGTCTTCTTTGGAAAAAATGCTAGTGAATTCATCTGTTTTAAATGGTATGTCATCGGAACTCAGATACTGGTAATGTGATAAGTGTGAAGTTTACTACATCTCAGCTTACTTTTCTGAGCAATGATCTTGTAAAAGAACATAGAAAAATTCTGTTCAGAACACCAGTAACCTCTCATGAATTTCGTCATTGAAGTATTTGGAAAAAAGATTCAGTGACCTTCTGTCATTTAGTTTTGTGCTAACCTTCGCATAGGGCTTGGACATGATTCATCCCTTGTTAGCAAGTCATAATTTTGAGACTGCAGATTTTTAGGTTACAACTTTCTCTTTTGGGAGCTTGCAAGATTACTCGATTTTATGATTTTGGTATTGCAATACCTTTTAAAGTTAAATGGAGATGAAAGAAAAGGAAATTGTTGTGAAAGTCAAAGATAGTGTTGAAATGGCGGAAAAAGATATGTTCAGTTGTTAACATAATTACTCAGTCAAACTGGAGATTCATTATCTCTCCACAAAAGTGGACAGATAGGATTATAGATCTTGTTGAATGTAAAGTGACTTTATTGAGAAAAATTTTTGTTTTACTATTGCTGTCTTTAGCTGTATTCATGTGATTGTGCTTTATTGCTCATCATGTGGGGGGTTCTCAGAAATTGCTCATCTGTTTGTGGTAGCCATGTTGTGTTACTGAATAAAAAACGATTTAAAAAAAATATCAGACAGGGATTAATCTTTCGCCCAAGACCTTCAGCAGGCTGGTGAATCCTTGCTTGTTGTTATGAATTATTCTATGTAGCATTTGCATTGTACTTGAAGTTATAACCAAAATTTCCAGATGGAGATTGATAAAAGTGCTCATTTTCCTTTTCTTTTCTTTTTTTCTCTTTTCGTTGTGTCTGTTAGGATGACACAACAGTGGCAGAGGTGAAACGGTTTGTGGAGAGCCACCAGGTGCCTCTGGTTGGTCACTATGCCAAGGACCAGGTCAAACGTTACGACACCCTCAGGCCTCTGTGTCTTGTCTTCTACACTGTCAACTTCAGCTTTGACTACAGAGATGGTAAGTGGTTTTGTTAACTTTTTTGGGGGGGGAGGGTAGGGTTGCAGTATGTTGCTCTAAAAAAAAAATTGGTGTAATATTTTTGTACAGATAACTGTCTGTTGATTACTTTATGAGTTTAATCTTTTTACTTCGCTAAAAAGAAACGAATGTTTTTGGTTCGCATACTTTTGTATATATATGTTGTTTGTTAATTCTTATGTATGTGGTACTCCTCTGTTCTTTGGTGGGAGAAGAGGATGAAATCTGTATGGTTTGTGTAACTCTTGAGTTATGCTGAGCTAGCTGCAGTGGCAGTAAGTTGAGAACTTAATGTGCCGCAAAAAAAAAATCAAAGTTTGGGTCTTCATACATACGGCCCCAATTTATTTTCTCGTCCCTGGCGTATTTTCTCTTGATGTGGGGCCAAATGCTTTGTGTTCAGATGGTGTACATTTGAGGAGTAAAAAGACATATGTTTTTTCTCTATGATTTCTCAGTTACCCAGATGTGGAGGAACAAGATTGCAGCCATTGCTAAGAACTACCCAGACATCACCTTTGCCGTAGCTGATGACGAAGAATATGCCAATCTTATGATTGATTTTGGGCTTGGAGATTCTGGAGAAGAGATGAACTTTGGGCTCATCGGATCTGATGGCAAGAAATATGGCATGGAACCAATGGAGGAATTTGACAGTGAAGCAATCTCAGAGTTCCTTGACAGTTTCAAGAAAGGTTCGGGAAATAATAATTTTCCCTTTTTCCCCCCTAATGACAGACAACGATTTGTAAAGCTGTTCTCAATTTATGTCAAATAATACTGCCTTCTTGATGTGTCTATTCCTGTGTCTGGAAATGACATAGCCATCTGACAAACATTATTTTGCTTATTTCATCTCTTGATATATAGCTTTTTTGGAAATTCTTCAGGATCGTGGGTGGTTGGTGGATGCTCTGGTGTGGTTTGCTTCTTCTTTCCTATCAGACATCTATCATCTTCATCTCCCCTCCTTTTTTTGTTTTTGTTACTTTCTTATAACACCTCTAATCTTCGGCACTTCTACGACCTTATTGTGTTCCAAGTGCCGTAAAACTCTTACTAAAACAAAAACTTCACTTCAGGATCAAGGGTACTCTAAGGACAGTTTTTCTTTCCTTTTTGTTCTGCTTATTAAGATCATATTAAAAAACAAACTTCTCCAGTACTGTGTGAAAGTTTTGATATCCCTGTTTGTGTTTTGTGTCAACAGGTAAGCTGAAGCCATTCATCAAGTCCCAGCGGGCACCAAAGAAGCAGTCGGGACCAGTGACGGTGGTTGTAGGGAACACTTTTGAACAGATAGTGAAGGACTCTAAGAAGGATGTCCTCATTGAGTTGTACGCCCCCTGGTGTGGACACTGCAAGAAGCTGGAGCCTGCCTATGCTGCCCTGGCCAAGAAGCTGAAGAAGGAGAAGAATCTTGTGATTGCAAAGATGGATGCAACTGCCAACGACATGCCGGATGAGTACAAGGCTGAAGGTTTTCCCACTATTTATTTTGCCCCTTCCAACAAGAAAGACCAACCGTTGAAGTATGATGGTGGGCGTGAAGTTGACGATTTTGAGAAATATTTGAAAAAGCATGCGACTGTTTCATTTAGTAATGCTGCGAAAGAAGAGTTGTGATTCTGTTAAGATAATTACATGTACGAGAAGTTAATAACATATCCATCTTATGTGTTTTGTTAGTTTTTCCGGTATGTTGTGTCTGGATAATGTCTTTATTTTTACAATATAGTATTCTGAATGTAATGACTGCTCAAATGAAGCAAAAACAGACTTGTTATTGTAGTTGATAACACCAGCCAAATGTTTATGCTATCCATAATGCTAGTATTATTTATTCTACCTGCTTATTTAAACCCACCTTTATTTCTTTTTCTGTCTCACAATATTTTGTGGGTTTGACCTTTCTTTTGGTTAATTTTTTTACTTATACATATTGCCATGAATGGCAAATTTAAACAATATTAATTCCCATGAAGTCATGGTTTTTTATTGTTCTGCTGATTTAGATGTTTTACCTGTCATAAGATTGCAAAGCTTTGGGTTTTTTTTCTAGTTTGTGTTTGCTAATAGTTTTGTGTTTTATTGATATAGACAAATTTCTTATAAGAACTTAAAATGTTAGAAAAATTTGTAAGTGCGCTGTTTACCCTTATTTTAAATTCAAATGATTGAAACTTTTTCTGTTCTCTCAGCTTGGAAATGTATTTGTTAGTTTGGAAGTGCAAATGCAAAAAGAATAATTCTGTGGACGTGAAGAGAAGCTTTAAACGCCCTCAACTCCATGCAATGCAGTTTGGTTCGGAAGAATAGGTTAAAATTTGGCTATTTATAGCATTGAAAGAAGATACTGAAATGCTTCTGTTGACAGGATTGTCCTTGACTGTTTTTACATGGATGTAGAAATTGACTTTTTATGTGTTTGTTGTCGAAAATACTGTATCTATATCTTTTGCAAATGGTGGAAGGGTACATATTTAGAATTCTAACTTTTTCTGTTAATCTTCTGTAAAGCCAACCATTTCTTTTCAGTTATCCATATCCAATGATTTTTTGCTGTTATCTCAAGCTATCAAGATCTTTATTATTTTCTGTTTACCCAATGACTTACAGTGTCTGTTTATCCCGCTATTTTTTCTGTTTGCTTTTTAGAGTTAATTTGCTCAAATTTAGTTTTGTTCTAGTGAGTTTTGTATGTGCCAAAAAGAAATATATGGGTAACTTGTTGAAAATGTACTCTCTAGCATGCACATATCGAACACGCAGATGGTGAACAGATTGTCAGGCTCCCAATTTTTTCTAATATATTCTTTGTATTCAAAACACACACAAGGCTAAAACAATTTGTACATATCCCCCCCAAAAATGGCGTCAGCGAGGGTACATGTAGTTAAGCAGGGCTACAAATTTCATTCACCAAAGTATCCATGATGAGAGAGAGAGAGAGAGAGAAAGAGTGGCCACAGTATGAATGTAGGCCAATGACCTCTCTCTAAGCCAAGGGCAATAGTGTAGGCCAAGGAGTGTTTATTGCTTGTATGATACATCACGTCACTGAAGTATGGAGAGGTGGAGCTAGTCTGGACACCTTATTTTGCGCATGGAGATTCTGCGGTTACTTGAAAGCACGTACATATTACCACATATGTCAGCGCACTTTCTCCTCAGCTGAGATGACACACTAGTCAACAGATTGCTGGCATTCTGCAAAGCTAGGTCTATATGAAGTTGTAAAGAGGCTTCTCAGCCAAGGAAAACAGCTGTTCCTAGCAGAGATTGATGAAAGATCTAAATGTGAAAAATCCAATTCTGCAGAACATTAAATGACCGGTATCCCCGTAGGTTGGTGTGGCACAGGGGGTAGAATCCATCTTGCATTTTGACTCTATTGTCCAACTTTGTTTATCTCCCTTGATATAGCCTGAAGTTCATGCACAGCGAATTTTGTAGGCCCTACATCATGAAAAGATTTTTGTATCCTGCTGATTTCACTATGTGCTTGCTAGACTGTTTTCATTTTAAAATTATGTAATTTCAGACAATATCTATTTGCTTGATTACTACTCTGTGGTTTGATTTTCATAACATTCCCAGACTTCCACAAATCACTCATAAAAATTCAAGCTTTACGTAGTCAAATTCATACATATACTAGATGGATATTTATGCATTATCCACAAAAAGTTTGAAATCGTCCATCATCATTTTCCAGAAATTTGGAGGGTTTTTTTCTTTTGAGACTGTACATAAATGACATACCAGTGTTCTCTTGAAAAACAGTACGTTGTCCTGTGTCTTCATTGTTTTATTAATGTAGTTAGAGGTAAACATGTCCTTTGAAAGATCACCAATAGGCTGTTTTCAGTTTATATATTCATTAGAAATAAAAGGGGAAGCATTTTACTTTCTTTTTATAGAGAAGCAAACCTGAATTTATTCCTTTTTTTTGTCCACCTTTTACTGTAACTATTTTTGTTTTTACCAAAAAAATTGAATACAATAACAATGATATGCTACTATGTACTAACATTTCTTAACACTTTTATATTTTCCTTCACTGTCCGCGAAAGAAAATCAGGACTTACTGTAGGACCAAAAAAATAAAACAAACTTACTGTGGTCATGCACGTTATATTATTTTTCAGACTTTGACTAATTTGATTTGGTGACTGTTCTCATTAAGTTTACCTCATTTTAGATTTTTTTTAAAGGCCACCCTCAGCTCCTCGTGCAATTCTTGTTTCTGTTGTTGATCATGTTCTTAATTAGACTGAGGTGTGTAATTAAAGGTGCTTATGTCTTTTACCGCAAAATGTTTTGATATTTCTTTCCTTGATGGCTCTCCGAGTCCTGTGCCTTGGATGTGAAGGTTTCTGTACTTACATATTTAGTGTATTTGCCACTCTGTTTATCCAGTTCATGCCATGTTGATAATTTTGCTGAAGCAAGACTGGGTCTGGGTGACAATTGTTCCTTGATGCATTTGTAGAATGCAATGTTCAAAGTAATGGGTTAAATAAATGTACTTTAATTCTTATCCACTTGTTAAACTCTTCTTTTTTAGCATGAATGTGTGCAAAATGTATGGCTAAAATGGTTTATTGATTTGCAGCTATTTATGATGCAATACAGTCGAACCTGCCTTAACTCTTTAAACCCCATCGGATGCTGAGAGCGTTCGGCAGTAATAACCCTGTTCCCCATGGCTTCCGATACTAGTGACAACTGTTTCGTTTTATTTAGTGCTAGTTTTTGCTTGTTTTTCGGAACTATTCGCGAACCAAGTTTTTTTAGTAATGACAGCCTGCGTTTCCACCATTTAAAAGTTAGAGGCAAGCTTTTGGGTTGTAATGAGACATAGTGTACCAGGTTTAGGTGACTGTAGAAAAAAATCCAGGAAACGGTGGAAAAAAACTCAGGGTTTAAAGAGATAATGGCCTTAATGATCACCAGTACTAACGGCCATTGTTCTTTTACACCCTTGTTATTTTCCTATATTTCTAACCTGTCCGTAGCATACTAGCAGTCTGTGGGTGGTTGGCGGATGCTCTGGTGTGGTTTGCTTCTTCTTTCCTATCAAACATCTATCGTCCTTTTCTCCCCTTCTTCTTTTTTATGTTTGTTACTGTCTTGTAACACCTCTTATCATCTGGCGCTCATATGACCTTATGCAGTTGCGAGCACCGTAAAACCTCTACTAAAACTAAACTTATACTAGCAGTCTCTGTCCTCTATGGCCTCGGTCAGTCATTTCCACAAGTCGACCTCAAAACTTGCTCTTTGTTGTCACTTACAAAAAAGGTGTTACTCCAACCCCTCCTCAGACTAAGTGGGAGGTGTGAACATTCAATCAGTGACACGGCAAAGAAGTTTTTACGATAGTTGATAGATAACTATTTTAATTGAAATGAAATAGAAAGATAAAATTAAGGTTTCAGATTTTAAACCATTTTGTGACTTTGTCAAATCCAGTAAGTGTCCATAAATCACATCCTGTCCATAGAGGCCACCTGTTTATAATGTTGACTTTTCTCTGTGATTTCGAGGACAGGTTTGACTGCATTCTCCTATATACTCCTCTTTCTGGTTTTTTCTGTTTTCAGACTCAGTGATACAACAATACTCCTGTCTTATGTTGCTTACCTACTCTATTGGCCATCCGTATTGATAATAAAATGGCTTTTAGAAAACTGTTGATTCCCTTGGAGTTGGATTTTGAGATAAGATACTGAGATAAACTTCATTTGTCTTTTCATGTACGGTAATATTTTTTGAAGTCGCAGTACCATTTGAAAGATACTACTCCCCATGATGAAGGCATCTGTGGTATAGCACTAAAGCGCTTCAACTTCGCACATAGGAGAGCAAAGTTTGATCCCCAAATTTAGAGAACTTTAATCAAATATTTCTATCTTTCTGTTCGGATGTTGTTTTCCTCTCAGCCCGGGTTCATCATGCAGGGTCGAAGCCCGCCTCCTAAGGGATCTAGATTGTGCCATTGAGAGTGTAAAATCATGTACATTCAAAAGAAGAAAAAAATAATCTTAGGATGCCAGGCGGACAGAAGAGGTTACAGCTGACACACTTTCAGTTTGTAAGGAAAGAAGTGGGTTCCCATTAAAAGTTGTGGTGGAGCCCCTTCCTCCTTCTTGTTTTGGGTTGTAATTTGAAAGCAGTTATATCCTGAGGAAATGTTCCTTCTGTGCTTTAGCAGTTTACTACATGTACTGCCCTTCTTTACAGCCGTTGAGACGCGTGTGCAAATAAAGTGCCGAGAACTTTGACTGCCCAGGGGAAGCAACAATGACTGTGACAAGGCGAGGCTATTGGCGCGGCTACCTCCCTTTGAACAGAGCCTTCATAATATTATGTGAATTTGGGATGTCTGAACCCCCACCCCCAAACAGGGCAGTGCTACTGGCTGAAGTTGTCTTTAGGCCATTCCCAAAGAGGGGATATTAACATGTTCTTATGCACCATAGAATTGTAAATGGGCTCATTTATCAGCCATGCTCATACTGTGCCAGAACAACATAGGATGAACTACTGCTTTTTCTTTCCTCATCCGTACTATCGTCATTTTTCCTCTACTTTTTTTTGTATGTTTGTCACTCTCTTGTAAACATCGCAAGACAGTCACTGCAGTGGAACCCACAGGGAGCACGAGGCAGGGGTAGGCCACGGGAAACAAGGAGTAGATGCGTAGAAAGGCACATGAGAGAGATGAAGTTCACTTGACTTGGAACGAGCTTGGAAGGATGGCTCAGGACAGATATAAATGGAAGGAGCTTGTATGTGGCCTATACCCTGCCAGGGGTGAAAAGCATTGATGATGATGAATTTCAACAGTATCATTAGTATTATCTATCATGCTTTATGATAATTGTCACACACACACACACACACACACACACACACACACACACACACACACACACACACACACAAACACTTTGAGAGACAGACAGACATTCTATTTTATACCTACCGGTAGATCTACATCTTTAGGTTTGTGTGTGTGTGTGGGTAAGTGAGAGAGAGAGAGACAAGGGGGGAGGGGGGAGAGACAGGAGAGGGAGGGAGGGAGAGGGGAGGGAAAGGGTTTAGGTTTAGTCAAAGAAAATCTACGCCCTTATGAACTTCAAAATGTAAATCTGAGTTTCAAGACATTGATCTAAGCCACTAAAATATGGATAGATACTGACTTGATCGGAACGGAACTACAGTTTACTAGAAAACAAACTGAAGGTGACAGACAACCACCTTTTAGCCCTACTTCCCTGTATGTCACCCAAAGATCTATTTTACACTCTCTCTCTCTCTCTCTCACACACACACACACACACACACACACACACACACACACACACACACACACATACATACATACACACCCACAAACATACATTCACACGCACACACAAAGTCTCGACGTACACTCGCCGTGAATAAATATGAAACCTGTTTTGCTGTCAACCGATACCTTACCAGTAACGCTGTCCCGTTCAGATGAAGTCTAGAATCAGACACTGTACATGTACTAAATACACTCCCACACACATTGAACAAATTTAGCACACGCCGATTTCCGATCATATTCAAAAGTTTTCTTCTTTGCTGTTCTCATTTCTCAGAACACTGTTCTAAGTGGTGAACTGCATCAACAATAATTGCTAATTATCGGAGTTATCTAGCTGGGGTGAAGGCGGTAAAGAGGTAAGGGAAAAGGTAAAGGGAAGGGGTATAATTATTGTTTAGGCCCCGACTCTGACCGCCGAACAAGGTGCTTCTCTCTCCTTAATAAAATTTTCTCTTTTCTCTATATATTCCAACTGGGCGGTCCGCAGCATCGCTGTTCATGAGTCTTGACCAAGTCTGTCCCCGTCGTTTTATGCATCCGCATAATTTAGCAAAATTTGCAATTTTTTGCATAAAATTTCTGATGATTTTCCTTTATCATTTTTTGTTAACATTAACAGAATCGCATGATTTCACATTTTTGGGCTTAGTTTGCATAATTTCTTCAGAATTTTTCTGTGCTTAAAACGACGAGGACAGCTAAGTAAGGTATCTCCGGGAAGTAAGTGACGATTAGACCACCAAACAGAACCATGGATGGCTTAAAATTCAATACGTGTTAAAAAGTACAGATAATAAATAGGCTACTGACAATGGGTGTACAGGCAGTAATAAGAACAGGTTGATAGATAAAAGTAACTGATTAAAAAAACAAACTGACAACGTATTTGAACTGCAGACCTGTCCTTCCTTTGTAAGTAACAGAGAGGCCATTTGGCAATTAGAAGCCGTCTTTGCGCTCTGTGGGCAAAAACTGAATTCGCCGGATAAGTTGACGTCACAACCGAGCCTGCGGTGTTCGATAAGGCCTCGTGAAGATACGTTCCACATCGTGACAGTGACAGGGCGATTTACCTACATTTGTACAAGCCGTCGTGATGAACAAAGATGAAGGAGCGAGTCTCTGTAGTGCGACAACGCACCAGTGAACCGCTATTGTCTCTCAGAGCGCTTTTAAATCGACCGAATGCTTTTGGAAGGTTGATTGAATTTCGATGTTTATTTACTTGAAACTATATGAAAATTATCACCAGCAGTCAATCTCGTGTCCACTGTCCAGCCAACAAAAAGTTACTGGCGCCGCCTGTCTTGTCCAGTGAAAGAACCGCCTCTGTTTACATAACAGTAAATAGTAAATTTAGTATTTTTTAGACGAGTTTTGTTAAAGTTAAAGGCTCATAACTTTACATATTGGTATATCTCTGCTATGCGTAAGGGAAGTACAAACAAGCTTACCTCCAACCCTCCCACTCCCCGAGGCCAAGAAAACTACCACCATCGAGCACACACACACA